CATTTATTAACCAAAAAATCAATTAACTTCGATTTTTTTTCGTCTTATAAATTAAAATATAACGTACATATATTGTATATGTATGTTTAATATTTGCAATAAATTCTTATTCTACTATCAGTAAATAAACTGATGTTATGTTTGTCATTATTTTAATGTATTTTTATCGTCTTTAATGTCAAAATAACGTTAAAATAACGATAAATAATCTCAACTTGTTTGTTGATATGTTGTACAAAGAAATTAAAAAGTGCAATATAGGTATGTAATATACATTCAGAAGTGCCAAAGAATGTCATTAATGACATTAGCAATGGATTGCGACACGCTTATAACCCGCAAACCTTTTGCCACTTCTGAAGAAAACGTGTGAAAGCAAATTATGCACATATATTTATATACATCTTACTTGAACAAGCAGCATTTCACCGACGTAACAATAAATATACAAGTGAACTAGAATAAATCCTACGAAAATGCTTAGAAAAATCAATTGGAAGGTCATTGATTCGTTTTCTTCTTTATTTATTAATACCTGAAATATTCCTGATTTTTATTACACATTTTCATATTTTCTGAATTAATTGGAAGGATTTGTGCGCAGCAACGTGATACAAACAAATGTAATGTTAACAAAATGTTAATATTACATTTTTAATTGATTAGAACGGAAATAAATGCGTAAACAATATCTGATAAAATGCTGTTTTCCATGTCACTCACTCTAAAAACCTGGAACCCTTGAAAGCATAATTGAATAGTACAAGAAAGCATCTGTATTAGCATTATCATGTTGAAGGAATCCTCAATTGTTTTTGCAAACCTTGACGTATATGATTAGTATTTTTATTTTTATCGATTTATATTGAATTATGACATGCTAAGTATACATAGAATTTTGCAAATTACATTTGCATAAATAATTTTATGTTAAGTAGATCATTTTACGTTAGACAAAATATTATAAGCCTTTTTTACCAAATGTTCTTCATTCGGTGACATGGCAGATGATTATTTTTCTAGTTGAAGTTTTGAATTTAATTGATTTTAATAAATTAAACTTAGAAATTTTTATTATGTATTTTGTATAATTTTGTAAGCAGAGGAAAAAATTTGAAAAAATTTATTAATACTTTAAATAAATTAATTTTGACATTATTAGAGCAATCAAATTAAACATATCGGATGAAAAATTTAGACAATGAAATCAGCTAACATGTTAATGTAGTACTGTTAATGTAATTAGATTCTTCTTCGATTTTCTAAAGATGTGGAAATCACATGACGATAAATTTGGGTTGTAGATCGGGATGCTCCAGTATTTCTTATCGGGCACTATGGATACTATGCGATTTCCACATCTTTGGAGACCGGTATTCCGAGTCTGTAATTTTTTTAACGACAGTGTCGGTTCCTTATATCGTCGTTGCGCAGATATCATACATAGTGAAAAAGCTGTGCAACGACAACATAACGATACCAAACCGTCATTTGAAGTTACAGAATCGAGTTCTGATGGAGAATCTGAAAGGCATGAGACATTTTCGTCGAACGCAGCATGGCACGAAACTGTTTGTGAGTGGGTTCGACCGTATAAGCCCAAGGAATTTTACAAACAGACCTCGTCTGGTTTTAAATAAAAGAAGTGTTTTGCCAACTATGGCAGTTGTTAAGATATTAGTTCATTTCAATATCTGAATTTTTTAACCGCTACATATCATTTGACTGCCCTAATAACTTTAATATTAAACAATTACCTACTGCAGTGATATAAAAAAATGTATTTTTATATGTGAATTTATTTCATACGAGACAATCCTGCGTTCTTTAGCAGAAAATGGATAAAAGTTTTTCTTTCCATGAATTATACAAACCAGTTTAAATGTTCATGTCTCATTACAATTTGTCTCAGTTCACTCTTGAACTCTTGAGGCGTTTTTACTCCATTCGGATCGTTAACGAGATTCTTGAGCCTCTCGCGCAAGTTTTCGAATTGGCCGCAAACATGAATCACTAGCATGGAAATGAAACTGTCGCTACCGGTATAAGCAACCGTTCCGCTAAAAGCAGATAAAATCTGGCATGCACAAATCAATTCAAAAATTGGGCTTTTGGTAGCATCGAAAGGAAAATAGGCCGTATAAATCATGGGACGAGCCGAGTCACCAGGTGAAAATATGATCGCCGAAATCTTTAGAACGATATAAATGATTAACAAGGTCTGTGTTAGTATTGTGCACCATATGGATATCTTTCTCACAAGTTTAGCATTCTTCAGCATAATTGTTCTTTCGTCAGACGTTTTTGGCGTATACCAATCTTGATAGAAGAAGTTGACCAACAGCTTCAAAACTTTAAACAAATATTGTCTTTTTCAATTTTTGAATGAAAATTTATGTAAGCCGGTCTAATTTTATTTGATCACTAAATATTTCGCTGACAATTTGACATTTTGCTGAATTATATCTTTATTGGATATAATCGCGCGAAATGTCGAAACGAAATTGCTGTACAAAATGATTACAAAATAATTAAAAATATAGATAATAGAAAAATAATAATAAATCATTTGTGTTACTGCCATTATGTCGCTGTTTCGTAAACATAGAAATTAGATGTAATTGTTAAGCTGATTAGTATTCATAAAAATTAAAGCTTCAAAATGTTAAATTTATAAGAGATAATTCTATTATTCAAAATGTTTTAATTTTTTTGCTATTTCTAACGTTCTTTATCCTTTGTACCTTTCCTTTTACGCCAGATGGTGAATGCTTTCATGAAAGAATTCGCGACTGGGATATTAGCGGTCGCCAGGTTTTCGGTCATCATATCCACGTTACCCCAAATGAATACTAAATTCGCCGATTGCGGTATACACACAAACCCCAGCATGAAGAAACTGGCTAGCATAAAGCGACATCGGGAGAGTCCGCTCTTTTGTTTAGGGTTTTGTAACGGATCGGGCCAGATGCCGACGAGGCTCAAATTGAATCGATTCCATCCGATCGCGAAATTCAAGTCTATGCAGATCGAATTTTGCTTCAAAAATTAACGAATGAAGAAATTCGATCATTATTCGATACTGTCATTGTGCTAAAATTACATTGGCGCAAAAGAACATCGACGCGATTTATGATATAATTTTGCTTTTGTAGTATACAATTACAAAAAAAGATACATTCCAAGCAGAACAGTCCACTGAACATAAAATCTACATCATGACATCAATATGGCGTCGAAATGGTTCTGAAATGATTATTAAAAGTCACTTTTCGATCAGTCACGATTCATCTTAACGTGATGTTATCGCGATCTGTTGTTCTACTTGGAATATTTCTTAATTATTTTAAACATTCAGCAATTAGCAGCGCACCATATTTCACAAATATACGTGTAACAAGTTTTTTAAACGGCTTTGTATTCTCTTCTCTAACTCTTGTGAGATTTAGATAGGAATATATCTAGATAACAATTTTATTTATCTACAATTCACGTGAACACATGAGCATCTCTATTCGTGCATACCTCGATCAGCATCCATCGATACTTATACGGATGTCAACGATGCAACGACTGAAACATTTTAACGATCGACTTTTTTCCATCCCTTCCCTAAAGATCACGCATGCTCCGATGCAGAAAGTGATCTACCCTCCTTAAAAGACCCTAAAGTCAAGCCAGAGTAAGTTGCTACTTCGTATTGAACACTTAGCGATACTTCCGAATATATGTACGTATATATGTATAATTACATATAGAGAAAAGGTATGTACATGTTTGTATGTATAATTACATATAGAGAAAAGACAATATATGTATTTTTCTATCCTCTACATGTAAAGTACATCATACATCTACGTATAGATACATCATATGTCTTATTATTCCAAACATTTCTAATGAAAAGATCCCGAATGTTCCAGTTGTCAATGAGGAATCATAGATCGATGTACGATGAACATTATGTCTTTCGCATTTTTCGGTGGTAGATCCACTTGCATTCATATACATCGTACGCCACATTGGTGTTCTGAAAATTGTAATTTTTTGTATGGGTTACATTAACATATTAATGTTTTATCTCTGCCATTTTCGATATCATATTATTCTTGACGCATGAATTATTATAATATAGAGATAAGATAATTGGTCTATATTTGTCTATTACAAACATTTTCACAAAAATGTATCTTCTTTTTTTATGAAGAAGTATTCATTTGTTAATAAAAGACATACCAAAATAAAAGATATACGAAAAATTTTGTTATACACTTGGTATGTCCAATATACTCTAAATCGCCTTTTGATGATTAGAGCAAAGACCATCGACGTTAAGGTACTGATCATGTAACTTTTCTCTTACAGCGAAAACGCAAAAGGTGGTAAATGTTCCCGTTAATTTTAAATAATAAAAATATTCACTTTTTACATTTTTGCCCCAAGGAGAAAATTATATGATCGATACCCCGATCGATACCCTGATGAATTTGGAAGATACTGATACGGAAGTGATGACGAATGTCTCAGTTTGGTCTTTTTTAGCATCGCATGTTTCTCTATTTTTGCCATCTAATATTTGAAACAACAGAAAAAAGAATACCGAATACGATTTTTTAAAATACATTTTTGCTTACATTGTTTTATAAGAAATATTTACAAGCGCGTGAAATAATTGAATGAATTACTGTGAGCGATAATTAATTTCGTTAATTAAAATGTTAAAGATTGTATCATATCAGTTTTAGGATCATTAACATTTGCTTATTTAATAGTTTCGTAATCAGCTTTTTGAAATTCTTGATTTGTTTAAGTCTTATTTTAAAATCTAAAAAAACGTCGATTCTTTTAAGCACACTTATAAAATATGATGCAGACAATTTGTTGCATATTAAAAATAGAAGTTAAATACTGTATTCTTAATGTCGCATCGATTCTGTTTTATTTAATAACAGTACAACTGTACAACAATTATCATAATTATAGCAAATTTTAGTCATGAATTATTCTTTCCGTTCGGTTACCGTAAGTAATACTGAGAGATAACCGAGTGAAGTTCTCACAATCTGAAATAAAATGACAATTGACAGAAAGTTCAACATACTTACATATTTATATGCAATTGCGTAACTAATCTATAGAATCAATGAAATAATCACTCTATTGATTAATAGATCAATCAGTTCGATGATTGCTCAATCAATCCTTTGCAATGTTTGTAATCGATAATATCAGGAAAATATCGCGATTGATTTATGAATGAATGGGTGAATCGATTGATCGATTTATTGATTGATCGAAAATTGATTAATTTATTGATGGATTCATAAATTGATTCATTGATTTATTGATTGATTCATCAATCGATTGATCGATCAATTAATAAATCTATTAATTTATGAATTAATCACGAATTTTTCTACGATATTGCAGATATTACATGTCGGACAAAATAACTTACAATGTAATATTTATAAAATAATCATTTATACAATATTGTTACCTTACTGAACATCTGTAAAGAAAATGTGCTGAATTTCCCAGCAGTTAAGCAAAGAGGCGCTGTCGATCTATATATGATAAATAGAAGATTTCTGGCTTCCTTTCCTGATACATTAAACCAGTTAGATTCGTACGCAGAGAGTCCTATCTCAGTACTCTTAAATGTAATTAATTAATATTAATAATTAGTCTAAATTTATACAATAATTTTAATATACGATTATTATTTTCTACAGTAAATATATTTATTCTCAATTTACTAGTCGATGAAAAAGTGTAATATATTATTCTTTCAAGCAGTTATACTTTAATTTATAAAATGATAAAAAATGAAAGCTCTAATGTTGATTTTTCGATTAATAAATCATAAATAAGGAATTTATCAATCGAAAAATCAATTAGTTTTAATTTTTTATCGTCTTACAAATTAAAATATAACGTACATACAATGTATATGTATGTTTAATATTTGCAATAAATTTTTATTCTACTATCAGTAAACAAACTGACGTTATTTGTCATCATTTTAATGTATTTTTAGCGTCCGTAATGTCAAAATAACGTTAAAATAACGATAAATAATCTCAATTTGTTTGTTGATATGTTGTACAAAGAAATGAAAAAGTGCAATATGTAATATACTCGTACATTCAAAGATGTCAAAGAGTTTACAGGTTATCGCCGTGTCGTAATTCATTACTAATGTCATTAATGACGTTAGCAATGGATTACGACACGGGAATAACCTTCAAGCCTTTTGGCATTTTTGAAGAAAATACCCATGAAAGCACATTATGCACATATATTTATGCATCTTACTTGAACAAGCAGCATTTCACCGACGTAACAATAAATATACAAGTGAACTAGAATAAATCCTACGAAAATGATTAGAAAAATTAATTGGAAGGTCATCGATTCATTTTCTTCTTCCTTTATTAATATCTAAAATGTTTCTAATTTTTATTACTCACATTTTCATATTTCCTGAATTAATTGGAAAAATTTGTGCGCAGCAACGTGATACAAACAAACGTAATGTTAACAAAATGTTAATATTACATTTTAAATTGATTGGAACGGAAATAAATGTGTAAATAATATTTGATAAAATGCTGTTCTCCGAGCCACTCACCGTAAAAACCTGGAACCCTTGAAAGCATAATTGAATAGTACAAGAAAGTATTTGTATTAGCATCATCATGTTGAAGGAATCCTCGATTGTTTTTGCAAACCTTGACATATGATTAGTATTTTTATTTTTATCGATATATTAAATTATGACACGCTAAATATATTTTGCAAATTACATTTGCATAAACAATTTCTTGTTATATCGTATTACATTAGACAAAATATTATAAATCTTTACGTAACATATGTTTTTTATTCGAACACGATGACATGGCAGATAATTATTTTTTAAGTTGAATTTCATCGTATTGAATTGATTTTAAAAAATTAAACGAAAATTTGTCATACGTATTCTATATAATTATGTGAATGGAGAAAAAAATTTGAAAAAATTTATTAATGATTTAAATAATTGACTTATTAGGGCAATAAAATGAAATGGACGTAAAATTTAGACAATGGAATCTGCTAACATGTTAATGATCATCGTGACAAGTAATTTTCTTTCATTGTAAAACCAGACGATAGATGATCTGTTCATAAAACCCTTGGAATCGTATGTTACTAACTCGCAAACAGTCTCCTGCACTGTTACATCCAACGGAAATTTCCTACTTTTCAGATTTTTCTTCGAGTCTCGAGACATGTGGAAATCGCATGGCGACAAGTTTGGGTTGTAGGCCGAGTGCTTCAGTATTTCTCACCGGGAACTGTGGTCCTTGTGCGATTTCCACATCTTTGGAGACCTGTATCCCGAGTCTTTAATTTTTAACGACAGTGTCGGTCGTTGCGCTGATATTATACATAGTGAAAAAGCTGTCCAACGACAACTTAACGATACCAACCGTCGTTTGAAGTTACAGAATCGAGTACTGAGATGAAGAATCTGAAATTTCCGTCGGACGCAGCATGGATCGAGACTCTCTGTTTCGATCGTATAAGCCCAAGAAATTTTACAAACAGGCCTCGTTTGATTTCACATAGAAGAAGTGTTTTGCCAACTATAGCAATTGTTAACATATTAGTTCATTTCAATTTCTGAATTTATTATCCGCTACATTTTATTTGACTGCCCTAATAACTTTAATAATAAACAATTATCTACTGCAGTGATATAAAGAAATATATTTTTATATGTGAATTTATTTCATACGAGGCAATCCTTTAGCAGAAAATGGATAAAAGTATTTCTTTCCATGAATTATACAAACCAGTTTAAATGTTCATGTCTCATTACAATTTGTCTCAGTTCACTCTTAAACTCTTGAGACGTTTTTACTCCGTTCGGATCGTTAACGAGATTTTTAAGCCTCTCGCGCAAGTTTTCGAATTGGCCGCAGACGTGGAGTACTAGCATGGAAATGAAACTGTCGCTACCGGTATAAGAAACCGTTGCGCTATAAGCAGATAGCATCTGGCATACGCAAACCAATTCAAAAATCGGACTTTTAGTAATATCGAAAGGAAAATAGGCCGTATAAAGCATGGGACGATCCGGGTCACTAGGTGAAAATCTGATGATCGTCGAGATCCTTAGAACGATATAAATGGTTACCATGGTCTGCGTTAGTATTGTGCACCATATGGATATCTTTCTCACAAGTTTAGCATTTTTCAGCATAATTGTTCTTTCTTCAAACGTTTTTGGCGTATGCCAATCTTGGTAGAAGAAGTTGACCAACGACTTCAAAACTTTAAAGAAATATTGCCTTTTTGGATTTTTTAATGAAAATTTATGTAAACAGGTCTATTTTATAATTTTATCACTATACCCATGCAAAACAACAAGTCATTATGATATCAAAATGATGTCGAAATGGGTCCAAAACGACTATTAAAAATCATTTTTCAGTCATTTCCGATTCATTTTAATGTCATTTTAACGTTATCATGATTTGTTTTTCTGCTTGGATAGATATTACGCTGACAATTCAGAATTTTGCCAAATTATATCTTTATTGGACATAATCGCGCGAAATTCCGAAACAAAATTGTTGTACAAAACGATTACAAAAGATAATTAAGAATATAGATAAGAGAAAAATAATAATGTTATCATTTGTTACTGCCATTATGTCATTTCATAAACATGGAAATTAGATGTAATTGTTAAGTAGCTGATTAGTATTTATAAATATTAAAGTTTCAAAATGTTAAATTTATAAAAGATTATTCTATTGTTCAAAAAGTTAATTTTCTTGCTATTTCTAAAGTTCTTTGTTCTTTGTACCTTTTCTTTTACGCCAGATGGTGAATGCTTTCATGAAAGAATTCGCAACTGGGATATTAGCGGTCGCCAGGTTTTCGGTCATCATATCCGCGTTACCCCAAATGAATACCAAATTCGTCGATTGCGGTATACACATAAAGCCTAGCATGAAGAAACTGGCTATCATAAAGCGACATCGGGAAAGTCCGCTCTTTTGTTTAGAATTTTGTAACGGATCGGGCCAGATGCCGACGAGGCTCAAATTGAATCGATTCCATCCGATCGCGAAATTCAAGTCTATACAGATCGAATTTTGCTTCAAAAATCAACGAAGGAAGAAATTCGATCATTATTCGATACTGTCAATGTGCTAAAAGTATACATTGGGAATACATCGACGCGACTTATAAAATAATTTTGCTTCCAAAATATACAATTACAAAAAGGGATACATTCCAAGCAGAACATAAAGTCATCATGACATCAAAATGACATCAAAATGGTTTTAAAATGATTATTAAAGATCACTTTTCGATCAGTCTCTCACGATTCATCTTAACGTCAAAATGGTGTTATCGCGATCTGTTGTTCTGCTTGGAATATTTCTTAATTATTTTAAACACTCAGCAATTAGCAGTGCACTAACAGTTTCACAGATATACGCGTAACAAGTTTTTTAAACGGCTTTGTATTCTCTTCTCTAACTCTTGCGAGATTTAGATAGGAATATATCTAGATAACAGTTTTATTATCTACAGTTCACGTGAGCACATGTGCATCTCTATCCACACATACCTCGATCAGCATCCATCGATACTTATACGGATGTCAACGATGCAACGACTGAAACATTTTTACGATCGACTTTTTTCTATCCCTTCCCTAAAGATCACGCATGCTCCGATGCAGAAAGTGATCTACCCTCCGTAAAAGACCCTAAAGTCAAGCCAGAGTAAGTTGCTACTTCGTATTGAACACTTAATGATGCTTCCGAACCGATTTAAATAAAAATTTATTGCGGTTGGTTGACAAAATATGTGAGTTTTAGTTATTATATGGGTACTGCTAATGTGTTCGATGATCAAGAATTATTAATTGATTGTTTAATAGAGGTATGTATTATTGCAATATTATAAAATTGATGATTTTTGTCCTTTAAATGAAGGAAGTAATTAGTTTGACAACTAATCGAATAATAGTTTGACATGTTGCGCAAAAATGTATTTTTTCAATTCGAAAAGTGTTACAGGCAGTGCATATAAACCTGTTCATTTCGTTATATAAAAATTGATGTTGTAATGATGAAATTGATTCGTTATCATCTCTTTAGTATTATTTTCTTTAATCTTTTATTGCTAATAATGCCGATAGGTATCCCATTGATGTTTTCAGAATCTAAACAGAATATAAAATACAGATAAAATAAACGATCATATATAATTACGATGTATGCCATAAACGTACGTAATATATGAAATATATTATATAAAAATATAATATAAAAATAAAACAAGATAATAAAAAATAATTTAATTTAATTTCATAATAATAGAAAGGAATGTTTCTATAGAAATATACACAAATTAATATAAACAAGTCGTGTACAAATAAAGTAATATATTTTCTTCTTCTAAATATATCTTACTGTTCCGAACATTTGTAACGAAAATATTCCGAATTTTCCAATCGTCAATTTAAGGGGAATCCTAGATCGATGTACAATGAACATTAAGTCTTTTGCGTCTTTCGGTGGTATGTCATACCACTTGCATTCATACACGCCGTATGTCATTTTGGTGCTCTGAAAATTACAAAATTTCACACGGGTTTTCTTTTCGTACAATGAGTTGATCATGAATCTTTTAAGAACTTTTTCGTTTTTCATTATGAACAGTTTCATACAATTAAATTCAAAAACTTTCACGGTATATAAAATTTTTATTTTATTTAAAAAGTAAAATAAATTTTTGACTTTTATGTAGTGTATATTTAATAATTTATTAACTCTCTCGAACATACGATTCGGTCGCATTAATTCATCTAATTATCTCACCTCCGTCATCAGTCTTTCAGCTGAGTAGCAGTATGCATACATATTTGTCAACAGAACAACAAAGTAAAATGATAGAAAAGTCATTTTAATAACAGGCACTTTCATATTATCTGTTATTATCTGGAAATATTACATTTTAATTATTGTATGTAATAATGCATTGCAAATCTAATATAATATATTTTGTTGTGAACACAGTATATTATGATATATAATAAAATATTATTTCCAGCAAATAGGGAATACAACAATTACATAACGTTATGTAATAGTTGTATAATTATATATAGCAATTATACAGTCTTCCAAAATTCAAAATATTATAGTAACAAAATTCTTGGAAACTTTAGTAAAAAAAGTTATTTAAAAATTGTTATTTTATACAGTAATTTTGGAGATAATAAAAGTTTAGACATGGCCAATTACATACTACGTTTAGACGGCCACCTGTCCTTAAGTTGCGCGTGCGGTAGTTTAATGAGCGCTGGTGAATGCTAATTTCAGCACGCTCCCTAATACTCATAGGTGACTTTAAACTATGTAATCTGTAATTGGTTGTATTTAAACCGTTATATCTCAGAAACTATTGCTTAAAATACAAATTTGTAAATGACTTCTTTATTTAATTTTTCGAAAACTTTCTTGCTATAATATTTTGAGTCATAAGTTTTGGAACATCATGTATACAATTAGATAAATATTATATTCTGTGTTTGCAGGGATTAATGAATTTAATATCTACACATTTAGTTCTTTGATTTTGTTTTCGAAAAAACGCAAGAAGAAATATATATGTATAAGTGATCTTACTTACTGTGAAAACTCGAAAAGTTATGACACATATCTGAAAAGTAGCAGCTAACACTTGCACAAATAACACTGGGCTGTAGCAGCCGTCGATGATCTTTGCGTTCCTTGAAAATTTTACTTATTATACGTTAACGACTTATAACCTGGATCTCAATGTATACAAATCTTTAAGAAGATTTAACTTGTTTTTTTTTTATTATTTATATGTTGAATTTATATCTTGAATCTATCCTAATTTATAATTTAATGTAATATTTTTTATCGTTTATCATTGTTATAATCGTTTATCATTTTTTATATCGATTTTGTTCATTTTTAAATCTATTAGTCCAATTTTTTTCTTGTTAGTCCTTAAAAGTAGGATATATTTTCAAAAAAAGATTGATCAATAAATCTTTTTATTAATACCTTGTGAATATTTTTCTTGTATGATATGAGAGGGATAAGTGTTAGACATTATTTTTTAAATTTTTCCTCAAAAATGATCTCTTATTAAGGAATGATTGTAAATTCATAGTATTAAGTAATAGAAATATCATGCGCCGGATATTCTCTGACGTACCTAATGAGATGATTATGTCGTACAGCGATCGCAGCTAAACCTTCTCTAAATCTCGAGGAAGATATAGATTTGCTGACTAATTCATCGATCAGATTGTTCAGCGTTGTCCGTAGATTTATCAGTTGCGCGCACACTTGTAGTACGAGTATCGAAACAAAGCTGTCAATGATGTAATTAGCGAGAACTGAATATGTTCCTCCGGATAGTTGAATAAAATAGGTGATTTCGTAGAATGGACTGCTTTGAAGATTTCCTAATTGGTAGACGAGGTTCCGTTGAGGCTGGTTTATAGTTTGAAAGAATTTCAGTAAATACAAAGAAAGGTAAAATGTAATCAAGCACGCCGCGGACAAACAACATCTAAAGGATAAACTTCTGCCACATCTTGAAATCTTCAACATAGTGTTTCGTTCCCAGTCGCTCGTAGAAGTTATCCAATCGGTCATGATAGATGCCATCAGCGGCCGAAGTGCTTCTAAATTAATACAATATATTAATATAAGTATAAATATTTATACAAGTATAAATTACAGATGCAAGCATTTCTTTATAAGAAGATTATCGAACAGTCCGAGCATTTTGTGCTTAAATAAGAGGAATACAACTTTAACATTTATCATAAATGATAAAAATAAATCCATTTGACATTTATGACAATATATATTTGTGAAAAATAAACTTACTTTCGCCATGATACCAGGTAACAATCAATTTACTCACTCCCATTAAGCTAAAAGTCGCCGAGACAAAATTTTCCAGTATCCGAGACAGGTTACCCCAAGCACGAATCACATTCATTATCTGAGGACCTGATACGTAAAAGCTCACAGTACACGTAACAATAATGAATCTTATATTTGGCCGGCGAAATTTACTCAAAGGGATATGTGGATCGGGCCATATGCCAAACATCCATAACCATTGGCGAGTCAGGGTAAACACGTAATTCAAATCTAATAAAATCAAATTTTAAAAGAAATATCAATGCTTAACTTTAAATTAGATATCGATTTGTTACAGTATTTTTTAACATTTTTTTCACTACAAATAATTATTCTTATTAGTGAATTTAGAAGTTATTTAAATTTTTTTATTTTTCGTAATTGTAGCAATAGTTTCCGTAATAGGAGAATGCACTTCTTTTATATTACTTTTATAGAATTTTGTATATCTATAGATTTTAGCAAACACTGCTCTATTGCTTGTGCACATAATAACACATATTAAAGCAGTAAATAATAAAATAAATAATATTGTACTAATGTAAAGCGATAAAACAAAATTTTTTAATAATAACATTTCTTCAACATTACACTATTTTTATGTGCACAGTTATATTTGCTTCACAAATTTGTCTTTACAAGATCGCTTTGCACAAAATTTTATATTATTATTGCAATAAATAGTTGCGGCTTTTATTACATTTCGGTTTTTAAAGAGTTACTGCTTTTCTTTGTTATTATTACTAGAGAGAAATAAAGGATGATTTGTGCACAGCTAATTGTTTACTATAACCAACTTCATTATTCAAAATCACTGTAATTCTACATGTCGAAAACAAACATTTTTGTACCAGCATATAAAATTTTATTTCTCTATTCACGCAAACATTCGTGGAATATAAAATTCTATGGAAAATCTATAGACTCTGTGAAAAATCTGTGATGCTTTTTTGCGAATTTTTGCAATAAATTATTATTATTATAATTATAAATCAAATATTTCTTTTCTTTAATAACAATTATTTGTTTCAAAAATATTAATATTAATATTTACTTTTTTACTAAATTTGTAAATAAATATTTAATACATAATGTAATTAAATTGTTTATAGAATACAGTTACTTTAGAAGAAGAAATATTGTTTTGTTTATGAAATAAAAACAAAATAAAGTATATAATAAACTAGCATGACTAGAAGAAAATTAAGAAAATGAAAAAACTAACTATAAATATATTTAATTATCGATATATATATTAATATTCTATATGAAAGAAGTTATATGATACTACAAGCTTTTCTTTAATTTCACACAAACATAACATTCAGTAACTCAACAAAAATTAACTTTTTTAGAAGATTTATAAAATTCAAATCAAAATGAAGTTTTTATTAATACACATATGATAAAAAAAACTTGATTTTTATATATTACATTATTTCATATAAGTATCTTATATGATGTAATTCTATTTTTAATAGAATATCGCGATGCAAACATTTTTGTTTTTTATCGAGACATTCTACCTTTGTTAACATTCATTGATGTTCACGGCACAAAAATTATCGTTTGACTGAATCGTTCTTCACGATTATACCAAACCATTATGATTTTGCGCTTGCTCAGTACACAAAGGATTCAACCGCCATCTGTGAGTACTTCTGTAAATCCTTTCGGATCAACAGTCAATAATAAGAAGCATGTAATTCTTACATTATTGATAATAGTTGAATATATCATAAATATTATTTTTTTAGATACAATATCATTATATTAATTGAAAAGTTAAGATACGCGATACTATTTTTTAAATAAATAATCCATATTATTAATTTCTGTGCGAAAAAGATATATCACGGATAACACATATAAATACGTCAATATTAATTAATGTGTAAAAAATATTAATAATTGGGTATACTCAATTAATTTAGTATTACTCCAGTATTACTTTCTCTAATTTATTACTGTGCCGGAAATATAGGTGTCTTATTAACGTTTTTATTATTTGTGTAAAATACAAATAAAGAATAAATTCTTATTCTTTCATAGGTTGTTTTCATAGGTAACATTAATAACAATATTATTATATATAATATCATTAGATGTATAACAAAAAATAAAATATAATGTTCAGCGTACAAATTTAGAAAGAGATACTTTGTTTTGTAGAAGACTGTTTTCTTCATCGACATCCTTTTATTCCAAAAATTTCTAACGAATAAATGCTGGATTTTTCAATTGCTAATCGATGATAGATCGAAATATAATAAACATTAATGACAATATTCGGAACGCACTTATAGCGATGTTAGTGCGTATTTAACATACAGTTTATATTCAACAGTTTTTGTTAACAGAAAATAATACTTTTTTTTTCCGATAGTTGTTAATAACATTGTACTGCAACATTTATTGGTACTTTATGCGATAACGAAAATACACATAGGTATTAAAATTTTTTAATTAATATTCAATATATTTAATATTTAATAAATATTTAATTTTTTGTTTTATAAACTGTATAGAAAAGGAAAAAAATTGACTCACTTACCGTAAAAACTTGAAAAATTTCACAATAAAAGTTTTAATAAAAGTTAGCGGTTATCATGTGCACAAATGACACTGCGTTAAAACGACAATCTTCGTATTTCTTGAAAAATTATGCATTTCTCTTTCTTATTTATTATCCATTTATTTTAAAGGATCATATTTTAAGTAAGATTTAATTTAAGATTTTTTATGTTAAGTTGATATCTGACTTTTTTAATTTAGCGTATTCATATAAGTCTAATAATTTGAAATTTTATGAGTCTTCAAAATCATATTATATATAATGAAAAAAGTTAGGATATTACATATCCTAAAAAAATAAATAACCGATGTGTATGTAAATGTTATTACATAAATATAATATTATTAATTAATATTAATAATATTATTACATAAATATGATATTAACACGCTTTATTTAAAAAGACCATTAAGGAATAACATGTTAAATAACAAATAGAATATAGTTACTTACTAAAACTTAATGTAACAGTATGCCTTGGCGTACGTTTGTTTAAATTGTTGATGTAAGTTCTTACCTGAATTATGAATTGCTTTCGTATTTGATATGCAAGTATTATTATTTAATTGCTTAATAGGCGTATATTTTGCAATACAATAAATCCAATAATTTTTATCCTATAATGGAAGTAAATAAATAGTTCAACAAGTAATAGTCAAATAATAATTTGACATATTGTGCAAAAATGTGTTTTTCCAATTTGAAAGTGATATTACAGATAATCGATATAGCCTATATGTATAGCCTCATTTAATATGTTTTCATTTCATTATTCAAAAATTAGTGTAATGTGATGAAATTAATTTTGTTATCATTCCTTAGTATCATTTTCCTTAATCTCTCATTGTTAGCAATGCTGATAAGTATCCCATTGATGTTTTCAAAACCTATAAACAGAGTAAAAATTACAAGTAAAATATAATTTTACGTAATCCTGTAATGGATACCAGGAATAGGTAATAATAATATATAAAATATATAATGTAAAAATATATAATATATACCACGGTAAAATGTAATACGTATATATACTATATACTGTATACTTAATATAATATATAGTATAAAATATTATATTATTATATTATATATATATTATATATCCGATACAAAAATGTTTTCAATATAATAAAATAAAAAATAATTTAATTTAGTGATTACGAATAGGGATGTTTCTATACAAACATACTCATTAGTATATAGATACAGACGAATCGCGTATATAGATAAAGGAGTATATATTCTTTTCATAAATATATCTTACTATTCCAAACATTTCTAATGAAAAGGTTCCAAATTTTCCAGCCGCCAATTTAAGAGAAATTCTAGATCGATGTACAATGAACATTAAGTTTTTTGCATCTTTCGATGATAGATCGTACCACTTGCATTCATAGACGCCGTATGCCATCTTAGTGCTCTAAAAATTACAAAATTTCGCACAGGATTTTTTTTTGTATAGAGAATTGATTATGAATCTTTCGAGAATTTTCTTCCATTTTTCACTATGAAGACTTTTATGGAAATAGAGAAACTTGAAAACTTTGATTTTATATAAAATATTTACTTTATATAAAAAATAAAAATAAATTGTAGCTTTTTATACACTGCATATTTCATAATTTATTAGTTTGCATAAGATCTAATCGTATTAATCCATAATCCGCGTAGTTGTCTTACCTCCGTTATCAATTTTTCAGCTGAGTAGCAATATGCATACAAGCTGAACAACACTAAGTTGAAATATAATGTGAGAAAAATCATTTTGATAATAGACACGTTTATATTATTTGTTATTATCTGGAAATAATATGTAATAAAACAATCCCCTCTGTTTAAAGAAACGTGTACAAATGATTTCACTTACAATGAAAACTTGAAAAGTTAAAAAACACATCTGAAAAGTAGTAGATAACACGTGTACAAATAACACTGAGCTGTAGCAGCTGTCAATCGTCTTTACGGTCCTTGAAAACATTACTCATTTGTTATACGTTAATGATTTATTACTCGAATTTTAATGTGTACAAATCTTTAAAAAAATTTATTCTATCTTGAATTTATCATTATTTAAGCTTCAATTTCATATGTTTTATTGTGTTTG